GGTGTCTGCATGTGTGCAGCTATAGAGCTACAGCCATGTGAAAGCAGATGCTGAGATGCACTGGGAGAGCTCAGGCTTTCACTGGATTGTGCCCTGCCTACTCTAGGACAAGCGTCTCCTGAGCCCTCAGGAGAGCTTAAGTGGAGAGCTGCAGCCACTGCTGAGGTCAATATAAAAATTACCTTAAAAAGTTTTGCCAAAGATGCATGTAACTCATAGAAAGAATATGAAGGGCCAATAAATATGGGGGGGGGAGGAAACCTCAGTAATATTCAGAGAAATGCAAAATAAATCGAACATGTTTTACTCCACGGGTAAAAATTAAGATGATGAAGTTCATGGACAGTGCAGTGACAGATACAAGTGGTCAGCACTCACGCAGGCCTGAGGCACTGCCACCATTTGAAAGGTGATTTCATAGCATCAGTCAAACAGGTAAACACACTATGTATTCAACTTCAGTGTTTGCCGTACATAATGCTCACATCTCTCATGGGGAGTTGGTACATGTACACACCTGTCTTAATGCTTGTATTTGTCCTCTTCCCTCCTTCACCCCTTATTCATCTTTTGTGAAAGATGTATCTGCCTATTTCTTACTAGCTATCTTTTGTTTTGCTCTTTATTTTTTGGGTATCTCATATAAAAGCCATGTGATGTTAAACTTGTGTGTCTGATTTATTACACTTAACATCATAAGCTCTAGGTAGACCCATTTCCCCACAAGTGAATCAAATTTATCTTTTTATAGCAGAATATTACTGTGTATAAATGCCACATTTTATCCATTCATCTGTTGAGACATAGGCAGGTTCCAAAATTTCGTTACCATGAATTGTGTTGCTATAACCATGGGTACACACATATCATTATACTATGACGTCTGTCACTCTTGGAGAAGGAATTAGAAGGGATCATCTGGGTCAAATGAAATGCCTTTTAGTTTTTGGAGGACTCTCCATACTCATTTCCGTATCTGCTGTACTAGTGTACATTCCCACCAATGTAGAAGGGCTCCTTTTTCCTCCTTTGCTTGTTAACTGATATCTTTTTTTTATACTGGGGATCGAACTCATGACCTTGTGCTTGCCAGCCAGGCACTTTTGCCCCTGAGCTAAAATTCCTGTTACCTGATTTCTTGGTGAGAGTCAGTCTTTCTACAGATAACTCTAGAAAGATGGTACCTCATTGTTGTTTCGATTTGCATTTCTCTGCTGGCTAGCAATGCTGACCATTCTCTCACGTACTTACTGGCCATATGTACTTCTGGAACTGTCTCTTCACTGCAGTTGCTGTTTTCAACTGGGTCTTTTATGTGGGGAGGGCTCTCATTTCTTTGAGTTCTTTATATATTCTAGCTATATTAAGTCCCTGACTTATGAACATTGGAGTTGCAAACTTCAACCAGATCTTGCTTTACAGACATTCGTAGATGTGCACACATCACAGAAGTAGGTCATGTGTCTCCAGACGCTGTCAGAATTGTTCCACGGTGTGCACACTGTACAGTGTGACTGTGCAGCAGGTGGTGCAGTAGCTGGGAACTTACTGCACTGTCTGGTTAATGCTTTACACTGCATATTTGCATCAAAGGTGTATAACTAGGCTTTGTCAGACTTAGGATTGGACCAGATTTACAAACAATTCATTTGTAAATTGAGGACTTGCTGTATTCCTTTCAGGAATAATTGGCAAAGTTTTTTCCCATTCTGTAATTTGTCTCTGCACTGTTGTTTCCTTTGCTGGGTGGAAGCTTTTTAATTTGACAGAATCCCATCTGCTGATTCTTGATGCTTTACCTGTGTAACTGAAGTTGCTTACAAAGTCCTTTGCCTACACCTAAATCTTTCTATATCTGCCAGTCTTACCTATTTTATGTTGCAGCAGACTGCTTCTGCTTTAACATTCAGATCTTTCATTCCTTCTAACTTTAACTCATGCTGACAGATAAGGGTCTAGATTCAACCTTCTGCATGTGGATCATCAGTTTTTCATAAGTAAATTTATATATGTATACTTTTCAATCAGTTTTTATTGGTATATTTTAGATACAAAGAATGACCACATTCATCAGAGAATTTATACCTGTACATAATACAACTTTTTTCCTATTCCTCTATCCTCCCTTCAACCCCAAATTCTGTCCCCATTTATAAGTTTTTCCATTTTTTCTTCTCGTTTTTCACTTTTTCCTTCCTTTCCTCTCTCCCCCCATTTGAACATTTCCTTCCTGACAAGTGTATTTTTGAATTAGTAATTGTATCTGTTTTTATCAATTTGCACAAATAGGCATATATTATAGATGTAGCATTAGGGAGTTCCGGTAATAACAGTGGACAAAGAAACATTTTCTATGTCTTTGGTCTCTCCAACAAGTTAACTTTATCCTGACTCTAAATATGTTCTTAAACAGCATAAATGCAGAAATGAAGTCTCCTGAAGCATTACCCAGCCTTCGAGACACAGTGAAGTCAGCTTGAAGCTACTGACTCTGCTGACCCAATGTCTGGGTAACTGCTGTGTCCCCAAGCAAAGACATCCAGGTGTCTTTCCTATCCCTGATGCTTTTTACAAAAATCCTGGTTCACTTGAAATGTCTTCCAAGTAATGAAAGAAATGTGAAATTAGAGTAATAAATGCATCTTTTCACATGTAAACTGATCAAGAGAAATTCTAACAGATTTGACTGCAGAGGTAACTTATAAGCAATATGAAACTTTTTGTTTTGGGTACCAGAAATTGAACTCAGTACCTTGTTCTTGCCAGGTAGGTGCTGAGCCACTGAGCTATATCCCTGTTTTTTTTTTTTTTTTTTTTTTTTTGGTGCTAGTAATACTGTGAAAAATTCAATGCACTGGACTTTCTAATGTAATACTGATAACATCAACACAATGCCTGCTTAAGTTTTAACTGAATAGAAATACTTTAGTCACTTTTTTTTTTGAGAGAAAAAGGGTCTCAATATGTAGTTCAGAGCCACCCTCTAACTATGCAGCCTAGGCTGGCCTCAAACTCATAGCAATCCTCCTGCCTCAGCCTCTGGAGTGCTGGGGTGATAGGTATGCACCGTGATGCCTGGTGAAGAGGCAAGACCACTATAGGAACTATGTTTATAGAGGAGTTGTCAGCCCACGCATTTTCCCAATCGCAGATATGCAAACTGGGCAGGACTATGTTTAGAGGCTTACTTTGATTTTAAAGTAGCAACAACTGGAAGGATAAAGCCTCTAGCAATCAGGAACAAGCATATCTTAACCTGGTAGCTTCAGAATGGCAGTGTGGCTCAGAAAAGACACCAGCAGGCACAGCCAACTCCCAAATGACAGACAGAGACAAGATGTTAGAGTAACAGGCAGCATACACACAGAACTCCAACACCCCCGGGCAAAAAAAAAAAAAAAAAAAAAAAAAGGGGATAGAGTAATGATCAAAGTATATTATGGGTATGTACAAACCTGACAAAATGAAACTCACTAATCTGTATATACAATGAGTCGGGGAAAAAAAGCTTCCAAATACATGCATAGCAAAATGCCTGGAGGACCCCTTCCTAAGATGTTCTTAGCGTTTGTCTTGCTGGGTGGGAGGTTGGGAGTGTAAGATACTTGTCTTCCTCTTTATACTTTCTTTTTAAGCAGTTTTATTTGCAATTAACAGTTTTTATAATAAAAAATTCTTGTCTTCTAAGCGAACCCCAGTACGTTTCCCATTATTAACACCCATAGGTACAGCTCAGTTTAATGTGAGGATTAAAGTTTCAACTCTTGGATTATCTGGAAATTGCTCCGTGGTAAGGATTACTCTGAACTTGGATTCATTTAAAATGTTTTTTAAGAAACAAATGCTCTTCAGTATTCACAGATAAAGAGCAGCAAATGTCCCATTCATTAGCAGCATTATAAATCAGGCTTCTTGGCAGCTCGGCTCCTGCCTCCTCTCAACATGTACGCTGCAGGCTTCCTGTCTGATCGCACTGAGAACTCTGGCCTTTTCACAGGGACTGCCATAAAGCACGGAGCCGAAACCTGGCAAAATAAAAGGGTGATACCACCAACAGGCCCACACTATATTCTGCCTCAGGCAGAACCAACCCTTCCACCGGGAAGGTGAGAACTCAGTTTCTGCTTATGTTTCTGTTCAAGCACTTAAGAGAACCAGAAGGAACAGTTGGAAACTTGGTTTTTGAGTAGAATCTTTAATGACAAAACTTATGAAATACTAAATGTGGTTATATCGTTCAATGATACGGGAAAACATCTTCACAATGCAGTGTTGAGTTTAAAACTATAGGACATAGTTAAGATTCCAATGTATTTTATTTCATTTATTTTTTGGTCCTCGTAATGGGACACAGTACCTCGTGCTTCTCAGGCAGGTATGAGGCTGCTGAGCTGTACCCCGGCCCTTCTAATTTATTTTTTTTTAAAAAAAATCAACAATGCCTCATACAAAGGGTACAAAGAACGAGATGACACACATGACATTAATACTGACTTTTCTGGGCAATGGACTCAGACACAACCCATGTAAACAGGCTTCACCTGACTCCAGGGCAAACCCAAGGCACAGGGCATTTCTTTTTCTTCTTTCCTGGCTGCTGGTTGCTGGCTGCTGTGGCGCTGCACATGGAATGAATTCAGAGAAAATGGATTCAGACAAAGCGAGCACACACAGATCCAGGTGATCCAGGGGTACATCCTGAGAGGAAGGACACAGGTTGAGCCCAGCCACTCTTCCCTTCCGGATGTGGAGAGGCAGCATCATTACGGACTCTTCTATGGAGGAGCCAGCAGCTAGGGCTGTGTCCAGCTGCCACGTTCTCCTTGCCACACTTCTTCTGGGCAGCAAACTGGTCTTCCACCAGGGTGAGTCCAGTGAGGAGGGTGCAGCATGTGACCCTGTTAGGACCTGCTCCTGGCGAAAGCCTCGGACCATACAAACGTCGTCTACTGGCTCTCCTGAAGACACAGGTGAGGGGCTCACTGCTAGATTCTAGTGCCTTTTCCATTGGTCATGCTCATGCTGTCTGCTCCCTGCACCAAACAGACAGGACAAGCGACATCAAGATTAACTCTTTCCAAATACTCAAACAAACCGGCGCACTTCTGGACTGCATGAACATGGCACATGGACTTGTGTACGGGAACAGAGCTTTGTTCTTTCAGCTGCGGCCACCTGCCATTAAAATTTCCTCTATAATTATTCCATTAAAGTGGAAGCAATTAATTAGGAGCTGGTGCTGTGAGTGGAAGGAAACTGTCAAAACTGTTCCTCTAACACCAGTTCCAACCATCTGCATGATATCTAGACATTTATTACTTGCTAATGATTTTGGAAATGGAAATTCATATGCAGATGGCTCACAAGAGATTTTCTACCAAGCATGGGGGAAAAGAAAAAAACCATGTGTGTGGCTTTTCCAGGGCTAAGCCAGACCTTCCTTCCCCGGTCCATGGCACGGTTGGCCATTTTCTGCCTTTCTGATAGACGGGGATATTGGGAAGACTCAGAGTATAGACATCCTCTTAGCAAAAAAAGGTGACAGTTTATCACACCTTAAAAAGAGCACTTGCACAACCTTTCTCAGCTCTTGTTTTCTACAGAGCATGGCCTTATGAAAGCACCATGCCTGATGACCCTCAGAGGTGTGAAGACTCAGGGCTCCAGCAGGAGGCAGATGGCCAGGACAAATTAGCATCGTGATTCCCACACCCGTGCTATCCCAGGTGATGAAAAGTAGCTCTCTGGCCTCTTCAGAATTACCATGGAGAGGGAGAATGTCAAGAATCCCAGGCAAGCTCACAGCTCCCAACTGTGGAATCTAACACATCATTCCTCCTGGCTTGGGAACAGCATTAAGGGCGAGGCCTTGGTGCCCAATTCTTCTTTGTGTGGCTGTCCCCTACTTCTTTGAAGCTGACCACCTCAGCAGTGTACTCCCAGGGAGGTCTCCCAGAGCTCCTGGTCCCCCCACCCTGGCCCACACGTGTCCAGGCTCTGGAACCTTGCCAACTCTGGCAGGAACAGAACACTTTCATCAGGAGGCACTTTTAAGTTTGCTACCAAGAATTCTGCCTTTTGATTGTACCTGGGAACACAAAATACAAACATAGGACTATGTTCACTGCAGGCAAAATACAGCAAAAAATGTGCTGCCTCAAGTCCAGCTGTAATAATCAACAGTGACAAAGTCAACTGTTGAACCTTGAAAACATCCCACTCCTTGGGAAAGACCACAGTACTTTACTAGAGGATCTAGATCAGAAAACTAGCACCACCCGCAGTGGCCTGTGGATTCCCCTCCACACAAGGCCAGCTGCAGTCACTGTGCACCCTGCTCGCCAGCACCTGGCAGGGGCACCACTGCCTGGGTCCCAGGACCCTCACCAACACCAGTCCAGCATGCCACAATCAGGCCAGCCTTTCACCTCCCGACCCTGGAGCCTCCCCGCGCCTGGACTATTAGGGTCGTCTGTGTTCCTATCCTGATCTGCCTCACAAAGCAGGGCTCTCCTGCTTTAGGAGATCTAGGTCCACAGTGAAGGGAAAACCTCTTAGCATATTTCAGGCTGTATTTGGGCAGCAGTTTTTTGCTTCCAAGTAACCAGGACAGCAGTGGTTAAGCACACCCCTGGCCTTGCAGCCAGCGAGACCCACACCTTACTGCAGGGCCCCAGATACTTCCTGAAATTCCAAGTGACCACGTATCAAGGGTTTGTAAGTGCAGCCTGGGCAGCCAGGAGTGAGGAAGAAATGCTGATGTGCTCCTGCAGGCTCACTTGCTTGCTAGGACCGACAGTCTGCAACCCATGTGCCCTGGCACCGGTGTGTTTATGACTCACTGGCCACGGTCCTGTCACTGTTCCTTTTGGGTCAGGAAGAAATGCATGCTGTTTTGGTTATCTGGCTGTTTATATACATACATGGTACCCTAAAGGAATACCAGGAATGAAATGCAAACTAACTGGCAGTTATGGATGAATGCAGTGGATTTAAAAGCAAAATGCTGGGGCTCACAGTAGAAAGCCTGGCACTGTCTACCTCATCACAGCATGTGGACCTGCTCAGGAATCATCTGATACCCACAAGAATGTGCACTGGTATTGGGAAACCCACAGCTATCCAGGCTGTACTCAGTGATTCCGTTTCATTAAGTTAGTAATTGCTTAGTTTCTGCAAGGGGTGGAACCACGACCAAGAATTCAGGCAGAACCAAGTGCTGAGGATAAAGCAACACTGCAGGCAGACTTGTCTCCACAGACTTGGCTAAGGCTCTGATCACTGATGCGCATGAGAGAGAACTGGAGAAGGGCTGGACTAAGGACTAGAGAATCAGGAGAGGCACAATGCGCGCAGACTCTGTGGAGTCTCAGATGTACACCGGGGATACAGCCAGCATCCCTGTGCATCAACCATGCCTGCCTGCGGGTAGGATCACTGGGAACCACAACCACTTGAGCACTGCAGAGCTGGAAGCACATGCACCAACTCTGCATCATGCTTCTAGCCTGGGCCTGGAGCCGTTTTTTCCTGATCTGACACTACATGCCTCAGGGCTAGATCTGTGGGAGGCCCGAAAGCTCTCGCCAACCAGCTGGTAAGACACTCCGGCTGGAGGCTCTTGGCCTGACATCACCTGCCACCCAAGTAGGGCCTTGGGCTGCTGGCCACGTTGTGCGTGGATAACCCAAGGAGTTCCAGCATCAGATATTTCTGCTCTGGTATGGAAGTGGGAATGATGTGAACACTGACTTCATGCTTTAGGGAGAGTCACGCTATTATTTAATCTGCACGGGAGAAATTTCTGGACAGTATCAATGTTTTCTAATAGAATTTGAGAAAACCAGCTTAAGCTTCCTGCCAAGCCGAGGAAAAGGGACTCTCCTCGTCTAATGTAAACCACTGCGACCCACCAAGGAAAAGCATGTGGTAATGAATGTTCAAGAGGTTCTTCCGGGCCTACAGGCCATGCTGTAACAAAAGGCTTCATGCTGACACAGAGAGCTCAAGGTCACGGCCAGGCCTCCATGTATTTTCTTATTTTACTTTATTTTTTAAAGATGCAATTGATAGTGTCTGCTTTTTGTGGTACTCAAGATTGAACCAGGGCCTTGTACATTCTACATAAGCTGTCCCCATACCCCTTCCACATTTCCATTTTGCGACAGGGTCTTGTGAAGTTGCCCACGCTTGCCTTGAATTTCAGACCCTCCTCCCTCAGTCTCCCAGGTTAATTGGGATTACAAACTTGCCTCACTGCACCCAGTGACACTGTTTTCTTTCTGACAAAAAACAAAACCAAAAAAACCCCCATATACACACACACACACACAAACTTCTATAAACACTCACATAAATAATAAGAAAAACGCTAGAATGCCAGGAGAGTAACATGAGTAAGCTCTGGTATGAAGATGCAACGAAGACCCTGGCTAGATACTGGTTCAGCACCAATTTAGTGCTGTAGGTACAGGACCAGAATGACCTGCGCGCAGGGAAGGAATGGGAGGTGGGGACTGGAGCCAAAGTCAGGCCTGCCTGTGGGAGCCCATGGAAGGTGCCAGAGTGTGGGAGAAGCCTGCAGTTCTCACTGTCTCATGTGGTTTCAAGGCCAGGTACCCACAGGCCCCACACTATTTAGCCTGAAAATAGGGTAAGGCTGGCCTCTTCCAGACGATGGTTTTGTCAACAGCAGCCTGGTTTGCTTACTTACCCTTAGGTATTGGTATTTATTACTGTCTACCATGACAAAACAGAGTTATGGAGCTAAGGGACACAGAGGTGGTCCAAGCCAGCTGCCTGGCACAGGGGAGGCAGCATGAGAGAAGTCCAGGAGGATGTCACTCTGGAGACTTGACCCAGTGCAGGTCAGTGCACCCCTCCAGCTGGGAAAGTGTCAGTGAGGTGTCCTCTTCTCTAGCTGAGGGTCAGGAGGCTCTCTCAGCTGCGTGACTCGGTGGCCAAGTCTGCAGAACTGCAGGCCTTCCTCACTCGGCTGGCCCCATCATCGCCCGGCCTCATCTCTGGTCTCCAGATGGAGGGAGGAAGGAACAATCTCGGGCCACAGAAGGTGAGCACAAGTCACCTTGCTCACAGCTGCAACCCCTGAGTGTGGGCACTGATGAAGGAGAAACCAGGGAGAAGCAGCCACTTCTCAGTGAGTAAGAATGGCTTCTGAGAGGAGCCACCTAACGCAAGAAAGGCTGCCAGCTCTCTCAGGTTGCTGGGAGCCAGGGGAGAGGAGGCTCAAACATGGCTAGTGTGGGATGGGCAGAAAGGTGGGGTGGCCCCTCGCCTCCCCGCAAGTGACCACTCCGAGTCAGACACCAGCTTGTATTTCATGCTATGTCAGGGGCCACAGCCAGCCTTGTAAGGAAAGTCTGGAGGCCTTCAGCACATTGATGGCCTCTGGTCACTATGGACAATCTCCCGCCTTCACCCTGGTCAAGGGTCTCTGTGGAGTCAACTCGGAGCTCCATGGTCTCCATCCCACCACAGCCCGGGCTGTCCGGCTGGTCTTTCCCACACACTTGGTGCTGCTCCCAGGCGTCAGTCTCCGTTTAAGCAGCACCGCATCACAGAGCCCTCAGACCCCTTCCTTCGAACAGCAGGAGGGAGGGAGGCCCCACTGTCAGACGTTGCCCCAGAAGACTTAAAAGGTGCCCCACACTGTTCCACCTGGCGGAGCGACCTCATCACATGGCTGCAGGGCACCCTCGGCTCCAAGGTGGCCTGTGGTCGCTGCCTCAGCGCCCTCACCAACCCGTCTGCCCTGGCCATCCCCCCTAGTTCCAGGCGACTCATGTCCTTCGGGTCATTTCTGGCCTGAATCCCAGAATACTCCTGTAGCGATGTCTTCATCAGAAGGAAGAACCTTCCACACAAAACCTTTATAAGAGCCTTCTGCTGAGCAAATTATAATCACTCGGTTTGGAGGAGATGACTGAACTGACAGAAAACACAGTGGCAAGGGGCAGATGAGCCGGAAGCAAGCAGGGAAACAAGGAAACACACCATGTAGGGAATGAGACACGCCAGCACGCCGCCTGCCCGCTCCACTGTGAACTCGGGACCTGCGTTTGAGGCGACAACAGGATACGCAGGAGTGCAAGTGAAGGGCCGGCAGTGCGCGGCAGCCTCTTACCTGGCCCCTGGTCTCTCCACGGCTGTCCCTGCCCGGAACGGCTGTAGGCAGAGCTCGTCCTGTGGGAGCCAGAACTCTGTCTCCCCCACCTCCCTGTGGGAATACGGCAAATGCCAGCAGACATTACTCACGTTACCCTGGATTTAAAAGCACAGCAGGTCCCACAGTACCAAGGCTCACGGTGGCATGGAGAGCTTGAGTGGGCCACAGCACAGGCTGGCTCTCAGAGGGAAATGCAAACCTGCACTTTCCACCTGAAGGGGAGAGTGCACCTTCGGCCCAGGGGCAGAGAAACAGAAGCCCTGCAGGCTGCTCTGCCATCGCTCATCAATTCTACCCTGGGGGAAATGGGTCAGAAGCCATTAACCTGGAAAGCAAGGAGGGGCCCCGCCTCTGGTCCCCTCAAGCCAACTCATCCCCCACCAGACTCCTGCTCTGAGCACACCCCTGGACTTCATGAGCTCCTCCCAATATCCTACAAACTCATTAACACAAACCTTTTGCACTGTAAAATTCTTGTAAATTTCTAAATGTATCCTCTGTCTCCACTGGAAGGCCGACTAAGCACTCATAGATGAATTGTTTTGTTTTGAAAAAAATCTTGGTATTTCCTGGTGCTTCCACAAAGAAAGCAGCCCTAGACGGATGAGCATCTGCCACTGGTGTACAGACACACAGGGTGGGTTGGCTTGGTAAAGTGGCTTCAGTCAGTGCTCCTAAAGGCAGGCGCACACACACCACGCTACCTCCTATGCAGTCTCTTCAGTCTGGAGCTCTGTGCAAAGCCAAGGGATAAGGACCCACCCAGCACGCACAGGCCACAGGAACTTTAGGGCTGAGGTGCCACTTTGTGCTGTGCTGAGCAAGCCCTGTACCTCCTCCCGGCTGCCGCTCACACAAGGCTCATGATGGCCTCTAGCTGTCCCCTGGCCCCACTTTCTTCCACTGTCTGTGCAGTCGCCATCCTCAGAGCAGGTTTCGGAGTACAGTGCCCCCAGTCTGCAGTGGACAGAATGATCAGTTTCTGCACCGAGTTCCCACCTCCCTTCCCTGGCTCTTCCTCCACCACAGCCCCTTCCCAGACCTAACTGATGGCTTCCTCCACCTGCTACACTTCCCTGCTGCGGCGCTCTCAGGTCCTTAGTGAAGCCCCTCTGTGACTGCTGCCCGCACAGCGGAGCTTCTACATGGTGGTGTCAATCATCAACAGCTGCCAGCACACGGCACTCACTGCGGTGCTGCAGGTTTCTGCCTGGGTAGATCAGTTCTGATGCCCGGCACATGAGCTACCTGCAACCCCATCCTGTGGGCAGCTGTAAATTCAGGTGTCTACTCCCTATGCGAACTCAGGGAGGGAGGGTGGCTTTGCCCAGCCTCCGCCAGCAGCCCACAGGAGCGGGCACCAGCAGTCAGCACTTGTGCAGCTCTGCTAAGTACTACAGGACACCTGCGAACGGTGTGCCCACAGGTGTCTGGGCACGCAGGTGCCAGTAATGATGGCCATCTCAGAACCACCTGCATGGAGCCATCGGCAAGCCCCTCACCATCAAGCAATCACGATGAGGGATGGGTGCAGAGGGCAGACACTGAGCCCCAGGTGCCAACCAGTGAGGTTAGCAGGCAATACGAGCAGCAGGTGGTTTGTTTGCTTTGTAAGGAATAAACCTTTGTTACTTAAAACTCTATCTGCAGTTGGTAGGAGAGAGTTACAATGGAGAAAAAGGTTGGGAACAGAGAAAAGAGTGTTTTCTGTCAGTCTGGGACCAGCTCCACACCCTAGCTGAGCTCTGATAACAGCCATGCACGTGGCCCAGCAGGACAGGCTCACCCATGGGGCCAGGAGGGGACATACACAAGGGGACTGCCTGGGGCTTCTGGAGATGGTCTGGTGGGTAGGAGTCTAAAGTCAGTTCTCTTAGCTATCAAGAAAAATAATGGGGTCACTTACAGCTATAAACTCTAACCAGAGGAGGACACGAAAAAATAATTACAAGATTCTCATTAGTAAAATAAGCATATCCACCTCCACAAAAAACAAACATTCAATCAGTGAAATACAATTTTTCATCTACCAAGTTAGCAAAAACAATTTGTTTTAAATTGAAGGCCATCAAGGTTATCATCAAACGGATTCTTACTGCTGGCAAAGGAAACAAGGACACGAAACAAGGATTTCAGAAAACAAGCTGGCAACATTTACTAAGTGATTACATTTTGATCTATAATTCTACAAACTACACAGGATATTTAGTTTAAGGAAATAATGCAGAAGAAAGAGATGAGAAAACTGTTTAGAGCTGCAGACGGCACAACAGGCTCCATGGTAAATCCGAGGGTCTGTCTAGCAGTGGGAGAGTCTGGCTACCATTGGAGAGCTTTCGCATAACTGTCACGGGCGGAAGTTCAGTGGGACCGGAAACAGGGTTCAGAACTGTATCGAGAACCAACCATGATATAAAACCACAAGAAAATACTCCAGGGGAGTAACAGGGGAAGTACATCCCCTGTTAGCACTTGTCACCTGTAGGCAACAGATTTATAGGCCATTTGTACTGCCTTTTTCATTATGTTCTTTGTACTCTAAAGCTGTCTAACATGACTTCCTTAGGAAAAACTAAACCCAACTTTCGTAAAGTTAACAAACACTGCCAGTGGCCTCTGCACTTTGGAGGACTGTAAGAAGTAGGTTATACACACAGAGAAAGAGCATAATTATTCAATAAATAATGTAATCTTCCCTGAAAGTCTGTTTCTAAATGGGACCGGGATTTAAAGTACTAGGTAGCACTCTACTATATTAATCCTTTCTTTCCATTTCATCACCTTCCTCTTGGAGTTTTTTCTTTTCCTTTTTATTTAGTCAGGGTCTTACTATGTAGTTCAGGCTGACCTTGAACTCACTATGTAGCCTAGGCTGCTCTTGAATGCACAGAAATCCTCCTGCCTCAGCCTCCCAAGGGCCGATACTGCATATGAGCCATCATGCCTGGCTCTTCTGGAATTCTTTACCAGGAAACCTCAGGAAAGACCTGGGTCTACCAAGAACACTGCGTGACCAGGAAGTGAGCTGTCTGGTCTTGCCCACCTGTGTGGTGTGAGTTCCAGTGCGTTCGGCCCACGATGCGGCGGTTCTCCTTCATGCAGGCCTTACAAACCACTGCCTTCAGATTGTGAAATCTGGTGAGCCACGATCTCTGCAAATAGATCGAATGCTAGTGAGAGGTGGCCACACATTCTGGGAAGAGCCGGCCAGCACGTGCCAAGCGGCGTCGGACAAGGAAGCGACGGGACACACACCATGATGGGTCTGCCCCCCCTTCTGTACCAGCTGAAAACACTGCACAGCACTGCTCCCTGTGATCACACGAGGGTCTCAGAAGACTTTCCTGAGTCTCCAGAAAAGCGTCTTTCAGCAAATATGCCTACCTTTCCTGTGGGTTAAGTGGTCACTGGTGAAAAACAACCTGTGTGACTGCCACATTACCTCCCTGTTACAAGCTATGTATCTTCTTATTGGCATTCCTGGTTATGTGATATACTGAGTCCACAAACAGTAGCAGAACCGGCCAGGGATGCAGCTCAGCGGCTCTGGTGCCTGCCTGGCAAGCGCAAGGTGCCGAGTTTGACTCCCAGTACAAAAAAAAAAGAAAAAACAAAAAGAACAAAATGAGTATGTGCCAGGTGTGGTGGCAAATACCTATAGTCTCAGCACATGGGAAGCTGCGGCAGGACTGCCATGTGCTCAAGCTCACCTTGACTATACAGTGAGTTCAAGGCCAGTCCGAACTATACAGTGGGACATTATCTCAAAAATAAAACCAACAAGAAATGAACAAAAACCCAGAACAAAACAAATGAAACAAAAAAACAAAACAGCAATAGACGGAGGGCCCTGGGGGCAGCAACCCTTTCCTGTCAGCTTCCTATTTTACTGGTGAATATTCTATCCTGTGAGCTTGCCTCTTTTGTTAATCTGTTATCACTGTGGTGCGCAGTAACGATCAGGCATGGAAGGAGAGAGGCCCACAAGGGCTCACAGCTGCGGCCTGACTGTGCTGTCTCCTTGAATCACTGCTGCAGTACCTGATCTGCAAAGTGCACTTACCTTACTCTTGCTGTCCGTGCAGAATTCAGACCTCTCCTGAGCTCTGAGCATGGAAGCCCTGTGACACCCTGGAGTGTTTTTCCTTTGTGAGAAATGGCTGTGGCAACACAGCACCAAATGTTGCCTGCTCGGAAAGTGTGGGTTGTTTTCTCTAACAGGCAGCAGGTTCTCTCGCAGGCACAGCCTTCTCATCCCCGTAGGTATAAACGCTCCAAATGAGCCTGGCCTGGGCCTTATTTGGAAATCTTCCAGGAACCATGTAGTGACTACACTGGGACACTGGAGCCACGGCCACACCCTCACAGACACAGGAAGCCTCCTGAACATTCTTAAGTGTCCCCTCAGTGGCCTGGGGTCTACAGCAGCCCTTCTGCAGCCAGGAGAACTCTCTCATCCCAGGCAGTGGGTCTGTGCCACACAAGGACACCACGGTGATACTACTGGTAACAGGGTCCTAATGTAACAGAGTTACTGGACCTTTTGTCAGGAAAATGATCGTGGGAGTAAAACTAATCTTAACAGTCGTGGTGTAGATATTTGAAGCCTAAGACAATGAAGGCAAGTGTTTGTCTTTGTAGAGCTAAGTGGCTGTTAGAACAGATGGTCCTGCTCACCTGATGTCCAGCCCAGAACTCTGCATTTTCAGATGTGCGACAGGTGCTGCCCAAACTGTTTCTGAAATGTGCAAAGCAAAACAAAATGAATAAAAAGAAACCCTGAGCTCACATTTTGCTCCAAAAGGGCCTCCACAGCATATCCCTTTTCAGACTGCAGATACTTCTGGTGAAACAGCTTCCCGTCAAACACGTTCCAGGGCATGAACTCATTTGTCTCCCAGGGGAAGCCGCATGCGCTGTTGACCAGAGCCAAAGTGGTGAGGCCTCGGACGAGGAGGGATCCAAGCTGCACAGCTCGGGGGTTGATGTATTCAAGCTGTGGAGACAGACACACACACAGAAATTACACAACAGTGTCTCTGTCCAGAACCTAGATACCATGCTGGCCTGAGGGATGCTGCGGGTGAGTTCGGCTGAGGGAGAGCGAGGGGACCTCTTGGAGAGCTGACAGAGGACAAGCTCGCCCAGGCCTGCTCTGCGGATGCAGTTGGCCTGTCCTTATGCTAATTTACAGGGCTGGAGTAACTTTCCTTCCCAGGACTGCTTCCAGCTTCACTGCACAGACCTGACGGTCAGCATTTCAGGGTCACTCAGGACACCTGACAGTGCCCCTGCATTTCCCCTGCACACTGGTTCTCAAGTGATTTGCATGTGTTTATCGCTGCTGCTCTTTCTCCCTGCCTCTAACACGGCCTGAAAATGGACTGACAATTTCAGTGCTCTGAAATCTCTTGAGGTTTGCTTTGCAACCCGCGCCACATTTGTCCCTGGCGAGCTCTTCACCAGCACCTGACAGTGTGCACACTCTGTTTGGTCACGCCTGCGGGTCACTCTCCAAGACCCAAGCTACAGTGATCGCTGCTTGCTCTTGTGAGGTTGTTCAAGCGAAGTGCTGTGGTTTGACAATTCATGCAGTTCAATGCCTAAAACTAGAGCAATCAAGAGGGTAGAAACTGAACTCCCAATGGTGTTTTGGGTCTTTGGGAGGTGATTAGATTAAGCCATTAGGGTGGACCTCTCCAAAGGAGCCCTGGAAGTTTTCTAAGAAGAAGGAGACACAGACTTAGAATACCCACACTCCTGCCAGGGGTCCTTACCAGAACCAGGCATTGCTGCATGTCTTTCAAAGTGTGAGCTTAACAAACCCTTTTTCTTCATAAAGTAGGCTGAATAAGGTATTTTGTTACAGTGACAAAAAGCTGACTTATACACAGGAGTCAGTGAACTTTTCTTTCAAAGCAAGACAGTGAACAGTTTAATTCAGTCTGTTACATATTACCTATTCTTCCTTTGACCAACACTTTAAAAACATAAAAGCCACCCTTAACTTACAGAGGGGCATTTTGCTGAGCCAAGCTAAAATCTCCCTGAAGGAATACAGAGGCACTTGTTCCTTTTTTTAGTTCTCTCATTTCATCAAATATTTTGAAGTTGTGGAGGCTGATCAGCATTGCAAAGCAACCCTCTTCCACATTGGCTTATTTGGCTTACTAGCTGGACAAATCTTTTTTGTCCCTATACTTCTAGCTTCCTGGAATTCTTAGACCTTACATGCATGTCTGATAGGCAGCATCTGGTTGGTGGCTGGTGTTTTACTTTGGACTTTTTAATTTGAAGTGATTAAGGATCCACGGGAATGTGCAGAGAATACAAAGGGTCCTGTGGACCCTCTGTCCTGTTTCCCCACGGGTAAATCTGGCACACTACAGCACAGTATCGAGGTGGCCAGGAGGCACAGGGGGGGCATGGCCCTTGAAGCAACCCCAAGACACAGCAGTTCGAGGCCCACAGGACCCGCTTCTGAGACCCGTGCCAGGTATTTCCAGTGTCGGTCTTCCTTCCTATTACTGAGTTTCCACTGCTGTGTTCTGCAGTGAGGATGTACAGTCTCTTTAAACCTTCACCCAAATGAAGATGTCTAGGCTGTTTCTAACTTTTGCTATTACGAATAAAGCTGCTATGAATATTCATGTGCGGGTTTTTCAATGAAACTAACTTTCCATTTCTCTGGGATAAACAAACGCTGAGAAATGTGACTGCTGGATCACAGGGTAAAGGTACGTCTAGCACTTTATGACTCTGCCAAACCTTTTTCAGAGCGACTGCACACATTTTATACTGCCACCAGCAAGGGATAAAGCTGAGTCTGAATCTCACATCCGTGCCAAAGTCAATCTCTTCAAATCTACCCCTTCCCTCCGTGGGGTGGCATTTTGTGATTTTCATTGCACAACTCTCCATGTGCTTATTTACCACCCACGTATCTGCTCTGGGGAAATGTCTGTCTCGGGATATCACTATACCACTGTTGAGGTTGAGATTGTATTTCAAGATAATAACTTTGTCAAGTGAGTGGTTTGCAACTACATCTTCCAGCAGTAGCTCACCTTTTTCTCATCTTGAATAAGAATGTTTAATTTTGCTGAGGTCCAAGTTATTCCTTTTATGATTGTGATTTGGTATGAAGTCTGAGAACTCTTTGCTAAGCCCTGAGCCTCAAAGATTTTCTAAGGTTTCCCAAAAGTGCTACATTGAATTCCACATTTTACTTGAGTTTGCTTTTGTACCAAGTATGGAGTCAAGGCTTTTGTCCTGGACGTCTGGCTGTTCCAGCACCACTTGCTAAAGCCTCTCCTTCCTCCAGTGAACCGCTCTTGCACCTGTCAATCAGCGATGAGCTTGCGAGTGGCTTCTGCACTCTGTCCCACTGGTCATGTGTTTTCCCTTTACCAACACAATTCTGCTTGATTACTGGATCCCTACAGGAAGCTATAGCACCAGTACAGAAATTTTCTTCCACTTTCTTCTTTAAACTGTTTAAAGCTACTTTTATTCTGCTGCCTTTCCTTAAAAAGAATAATCCTGTCCCACGTTTTCAAAAATCTTGCTAGCTTTTGCTAGACGCTGCATTAAAAGGGCACAATGAGCTAAACAGAACCAACCTCTTTACCAGCCCACAGTGTGGCATTCCATTCAGTGTTCTTTGGCTTCTCGCTCCCCTTTGATTTCAGCTTCCTCAGCTAACTACTCTGTTCTAAGGATTTCTCCGCTAACCCAGAGCTGGTTAGCAGAGGAACTGGAGGACAGGAAAGGCAGTACAGAGCATGTTCCCTGCTGACCTGGAGCTTTCCTTCCTGCCCAGGGGCTACCCATGCCCTGAGCCAAGCATGCAAATCTGGAACCTTGCCAAGCAGCTGGACCTCTGCACCCTGCTCACACTCCAGCCTAACTGCAGGTCACCTCGGGTCCCACCCAACAGACTGCAAGGTCTTCTGGTCAGTGCCCACTCACACTCCTGGCAATCCTCAGCCATGAGCAGGGACCTACCTAGCTTCAGGTCTATGTTTAAAGCTTTTCTTACACTTCTCTGAAATAGCTGACCCTCCCTAAGATGAGACATTCTCTGCCCCATAACTTCTAATGACACTGCGTTCGTGGTGTCTTCTGCACACCACCACCACCTGCACACTCCCTTTTCACACTCTCCTAGTGTCCTACGCATCACTGACCACCGTCTGTCTTCCGAATAACGCTGCCACTCCACTTAGTTTCTGCCCTGATTTTTCAGTAAAGGGATACCCTGGCCCAAATGTCACCCTTATCTATGGACAAACAGGCATGATCTTACGATTCCCACATTTATCTCCAGTGCCAACCCTTCTCCGAGGGCACAGACACGCATCTTCAAGTGTCTGGAGATGGCGATCCCACAGCGCCTTGCCAACTCAAAGGCATTGTCTTCGCCTCTCCTTGCTGCTTACCAACCCACAGATCTGAACAAGAGAAACAGGGTCCACCCCATGGCCCTCACCTCCATCTCTGTGCACCAGGTTTCATATGCCAAGCATCTCTTCTAGCTTTCCAATTCAGTCTACAGTTTCTCTAGCTAACCGCAGATTCTCATGGCCCCGTGCATGCCTACCCTGTGGCAGCCTCTGGTGATACATGCTACCACACAGCTGTCCTTGCAGCTCCCCACACCACAATGCTCTCTCTAGTCACCTACTGGTGGTTCCCCCATCTCTGCAGAATTTGCTTTCTTCTGCAACACTACTTTGACTCACTGGACACTTCCCAACTATCAGAAAGCCAAGCCAGGGTCATGTCCCCTTTACACTTCTGAGACACCTGGCTGCCAGCACGATCCCTTCCTGGCACCTGAGGGTGTACTCCTCACACATCACCTTCATTTTACCTGAGACCGGCTTCTTTGATGGTCCCTGCTTTCACCTTTGTAGACCCTGACAAGTCTGGCACACAGCAAGAATTCAGACTCAGCAGATTGAATCTGCTGAGTTCCAGAATGCAATCTAGCTCCTCAGTTCTCCATTAACTGCCGCAGCTCAGTCAGTGAACTGGCAAGAGGAGCTTTTTAGAGAAAAACCGTGAAATACGTTTTCTAATGTGGTACTTGTTCACAAGTACACTGTCTACTGTGTAACTCAAGCCAAGATCTTGGCCCATGGCTCATTCTATCAGCAAAAGCTGACCAAAGTGGCCCGCCACAAGATGCACGCCAGAAACTACAAGCCTGAGTGCTACACTTAGCTGACATTTCCACAGCAGAGGAGCCTGCACCTGTGCTGTGCGCTGCCACTGTCCCACCGGGCTCTGCTTTGGTGTGATGCCAAAACTGCACAGGCCACAACGCCGAGTCCAGCAACACCCACAGACCCCACCCCCTGCACTGTGACCCTGTGCCCAGACATAGCACCCAGTGTCACAGCAGGAGAGCCCGAGTTAGATGTACCACTCTGCAGTGCCCAGCCAACTGACCACAGGCAAGTCATACCACTTCCGAGGGTCTCTGTCACTGCGTCTGCGCACTGAGGATTGATTTGATTCCATTTATTACCGGTGCCAACAAGTTCCCTGTCCCCTGCTAAAGATTCAGGCCAGGTACTGAAGTGCACATTGTGTCCTTGAGGAAAGAAAATCTACTGGTAATAATCATCACTAGCATCTTCTTCAACTTTTCAATGTAAAGCTGAGTTTGAACTATAAGGTTGCTGTGCACTACAGCAAGGACAGGAAAAGGACAGTGGTATGGATACAGTTCACCTAGCAGACAACTCCTGGGCTAAAAACTAGACTGGCAACCCCTACGCATGTCACTAAACACTGGCAAGTTTGTTCTTGGAAATACCCCATGTGAATCTGGAGGTTAGACCGTCTCTGAACGTACGTGATATCAGCAATGGTTTAGAGAGATAAAGCCTCATCCCTCAACAACAAATGCCACACTGAGTGACTGTGTGACGGGTCACAGATCATGCATGAGAGGGAATTCTGAGAGGACAGAGCCATGGCTGGGAC